CATTATTATTATTATTATTATTATTAAACAGCTAATGTTGAAAAAGTTATTTATGTAGCTTTTGAGTTTTGATTTTTAACACCCAAAGAAGAATTAGAACATTATATCGTGTAGGCTACTTTGAACTTATGTTGTGGTGATAAAAAAAGAAAACAGGAGAAGAAAACCCCCCCCTATAAAACAGGATTTTAAGACCAGCGATGCCGTTGTGCCCACGGGAAGAGGGTGAATGTCCAGTTATCAACCCTTTGCTAATTAACGCAATTCTATTATCTAAAAACTGAGACCATGATAAAGCCCACTAACTGACAACATGATTGAGACAATAATCATAGAGCCACTAAACCTAACAGACGTGAACATAAGCCTACCATAAATTATTATACTAAAAGAACCACGAGGTTCCTCGTAGATTAACACAGCGTTTGCTGATTTAGGGCTGATCTTGGTGCTGTTGCAAAGCATGTTGCTGTTCTAGTTATTTTTGTGTTTCTGTATTTTTCACCTGCAATAGTTGTATTTGTGAGGTGTGCTGACAAAATGAGTTACTTCTCACAATCCACAAACTGAGATATTGGACAAAAATCGAGATTAGGGTCAAATTTGTAGATTTTCTTTACTGATGCCATATTCTTTAACTATAAATCATGCTTATAAATTGTAAAAGCTTCACCTATAAGCATGATTCTATTTCCTTAATACTTGAATCCGAAAAGTAACTCTTTTTGTCAGCACGCCACACATTTGTTGTTGTTGTTGCCGGGTCCTCTCTAGTGGTGCACAAATCTGAATTTGTTTTAAATGGCAGATGTCCTACTGATGCTGGAGTCAAAGCGTGGTGTTTTTTGGTGGTGGTGTTGGTGGTGGATGTGTCAGTGATAGTGGTGGTTGTGGTATTTGTGGTGCTAATGTTGATGATAGAGAAGGGGTGGTGCTGCTGCTGCTGCTACTGCTGCTACTGCTATGAAGGCAGTTGCTGCTGGTGGTGTTTCTTTACGGATTGTAATTGTTGCTATTGTTTTTGCGATGCGATAGAATTTTAGGCAGTTCATCCCGGTAATCTCTATGACACAAGACTTTACTCCAAATATAAACGAAATTTTTGCCAAGAAAAGATGAAAATCATGTAGCTTTGACAAATTGGTATGACAGTGAAAATTGGCATTCCTTGATTTGCTGTTATTAACTTTTGTTTATTTTAATTCATATCATTGTTTTTGAAAAGAGTTTAGTTTTCTACTGCTCTGTGAATGCTTTTATCCGTTCTGGACCTCAATCGTAAGTGTGAGTTGAGTTTTGTCATCTCTGTTGTAGTAACTTAGTACATAGAATTCGTATTCTTCAGTGCTTTCGGGCGAAATGAAGTATTTCAAGACATGTGTATTCTTAACCAGAAATCGGCACTTTAAAAAGTAAGGAAATTAAGTAGGCAGTTTATGTTTGAGGATCGTACGTTAATTCAAATTGCCATCATATTACGATAATGCAATCTTTTTAGTTTTAGATTTAGTAAGTGTTTTACGGCACTTGCAACACAATAAGGTCAAAAGTGCCGAAAATTACAGGTGTTACGACAGAGTAACAAACACAAAAAAGAAGGAGGGGAGATAAAGACGATAGATGTTTGATTGGAAAGAAGAAGTAACCCACACCAGAGCACCCCCCCCCCCCCCAACGGCCCACGATGATGAAGTGATCTGTATTTCCGAGAGTTTCCCACAACAGATCTTACCTAATGACGTCTGTTTGATGAAAGCATCACCAGTGTGGGACATACCAAGACGACCTCGCTTGTACTCAGACACCAGGGCGTCGTACGGATTCCTCACTATCAGCAAAATCTTTTCGAAATTTTCTGGATATACATATAAATATATATATGTAATATGGTAAGTGAAGCATGAGAGATGGCTGCAAGTTATGGATGTTTGGATTAGTAGTAGTAGTAGTAGTAGTAGTAGTAGTAGTAGTAGTAGTAGTAGTAGTAGTAGTAG